AAAAAAAAAAAAAAAAAGCAGGCATGGCGGTGGGCATCTATAATCCCAGCTACTCGGGAGGCTGAGGCAGAACTGCTTGAACCCGGGAGGTGGAGATTGCAGTGAGCTAAAATCACACCATCGCACTCCAGCATGGGCAACAAGAGGGAGACTCCATCTCAAAAAAACCAAAAGGGGACAGCAGTGGCGGGAGAGGCCAGCATCTGAACACCCCATCTGGGTCCCCACCGTGTGTGCCCCCAGCCCTAACAGATCCTCCCCTCCTGCAGGTCTTCGCCTTGATTGTGTTCTCCTGCATCTATGGCGAGGGCTACAGCAACACCCACCAGTCTAAGCAGATGTACTGCGTGTTTAACCACAACGAGGACGCCTGCCGCTACGGCAGTGCCATCGGGGTGCTGGCCTTCCTGGCCTCAGCCTTCTTCTTGGTGGTCGATGCGTATTTCCCCCAGATCAGCAGCGCCACTGACCGCAAGTACCTGGTCATTGGTGACCTGCTCTTCTCAGGTATCTGCCTGTAGCACCTCCATCTGATCCTGGGAGGTGACTAGGAGGGGGAGGCATTAACGCTAGGGCTCCTGGGTTGGAGGGGGTGTTCAGTGTCTCTGGGAGGGGCGGGGAGCAGCTCACTCCTTCAGGGCGTTTTTAGGAAAGGGTTTTCAGCTAGTGTTTCTCCTTGCTTGAATAGCACCAGCCCTGCCTGGAGTAGCTAGAAGCTGAGTGGAGCCCCAGCACACCCAAACAGATGGGCTTTGCCTCTTCCCCGTTGTCCCCTGGGCTGTCTGCTGGGACCCACTGTGCTGAGGCCCCAGTACAGGTGGGCTTTGGAGGTGGATCCCAGCTGGGCTTCCAAGTCCTTCCCTCCATGCTGTGGAGGCTCCCCGGAGGTTCCTGCCTAGGCCCTGCCCTACCTGCCCATGTGCCCTTCCAGAGTCCTGGAAAGCCCCTCCCCTTCCGTGGAACTGACACCCCACCCGTCCTCCCCCAGCTCTCTGGACCTTCCTGTGGTTTGTTGGCTTCTGCTTCCTCACCAACCAGTGGGCGGTCACCAACCCAGCGGACGTGCTGGTGGGGGCCAGCTCCGCGAGGGCGGCCATCACCTTCAGCTTCTTTTCCATCTTCTCCTGGGTAGGTGGGCCAGGGGCCGGTTCTTGGGTAAAGGGTGGTGGAAGGTGGGGTCCCCTACCCACCTGTACCTGTGTGCTCCCCCTGCAGGGTGCACTGGCCTTCCTGGCCTACCAGCGCTACAAGGCTGGCGTAGATGACTTCATCCAGAACTACGTTGACCCTACCCCAGACCCCAGCACTGCCTATGCCTCCTACCCAAGTGCATCTGTGGACAACTACCAACAGCCACCCTTCACCCAGAATGTGGAGAGCACCGAGGGCTACCAGCCGCCCCCTGTGTACTGAGGTGGCCTGGGTGGGCGGTGGGGTAGAGAGGGCCCTTCCCTCTGCCCTGAATGTTCCCAAGAGCCTCCTGGACCTGCCAGCCCCTCTCCTTGGCGTGTCACGTCCTGTGCAGCTGACACACAGCTAAGGAACCTCCCTGCCTGGGGGGCTGGCAGAGCCACACCCCAAGTGCCTGCGCCCAGGGCTTCAGTCAGTCACTCATTCCTCCAGGGCACTTTTAGGAAAGAGTTTTTAGCTAGTGTTTCTCCTTGCATTTAATGACCCCAGCCCCGCCTGGAGTGGCTAGAAGCCAGCAGGCACCCACATGCTACTGACCAGTGCCTTAGCTTTCCCCCAGCCCAGGTCAGGCTGTGGGAGCCACTGTTATCTGTGTTCTCTGCCAAAGACTCTTGGGGGGCCTTACACCTGCCCTGTGCATCGGGGCTGGGCCAGGCTCCTGCGTCCTCACTCAGGTTTGCTCCCACTATGCCCACTGCTGTATGATCTGGGGGCCAGCACCCTGGGCCAGTGGCCACTGGGCTGCCCCCCACGGTGTGGGGCAGGGCTAGTGCACACAGCACTTCCTCCTTGCTCCCACCCCTGGCAGCAGGGAAGGGCTTTGCCTGACAACACCCAGCTTTATGTAAATATTCTGCAGTTGTTACTTAGGAAGCATGGGGAGGGCAGGGGTGTCCCATGCCCCATGGCTCCCACTCTGTGCCGAATGTATTATAAAGCCTTGGGGGCGACGCCCGGCCCTGGGATGCTGTTTGGAGAAGGAATAAATGTTTTCTCATTCAGTCTCCATTGCCATTGGTTGTGCCAGAGCCTAGGGGTCGGAGGAAGAGACTCCACTCTGGGTACACCCTTAGGGGCTGGCTTTATGAAACTTGTATTTTACACAAGGCAGTGGCAGTGCACCCCCTCCAGCGTGCCTGGCTGGCCCCCTTTCAATCTGGGGTCGCATTCCGCACAAGCCTTTCATCCAGATCTTAAAATAGCAACTGTGCTCATCTTGTTTACAAGATTATTTTTCTGGCCTGTGGTGCCAGGGTCCTGCTGCTCCCTTCTTAGTGTTGGGGTGGGGGTACCTGGGAGTTGCCCGCTGAATGCCCCTTCCCTCTCAGCCCTTTCTTAGCACTGAATGAGGGGTACCATGGGTAAGGCCATGTTTCTGCCTTCCTCCAGGGTTCAGCACCTCTGGACCCTTCCTGGGACACAGCAGGGAGTGGGCTTGGCCATCCAGGCTGCCCCTCAGAGATAAGGCCCATCTCTGGAAGAGGTCAGGGCCCTAAAGCAACCCTGGCTTCCTCTTTTGAGCAATGACAGAGTTGTCAATGGCAAGTCCCGAATGTTTAAAAATCTCCGGTACAAAGTAGCAGGGCGCTGCTCCCAACCTCACCCGATGGCTTTGGCTTGGGACACATCACTAGCAAAGGGGAGAGGAAGGCTGTGGAGGCCCTGGCAGCAGTGACCCTGTCTGCCCAGGGTACACCCCACCCCAGCAATGCCTGAGCCCAGGTGAGCTGCCAACAGCCTGTCTCTGAGGCACAGCTGAGAGGTGTCTTGACTCCTGAGCTACCCAGAGTGTGTTTCACAAAAACTGACCTCGAAGCCCCAGCAGGCAGGTATGTGCCTCGTCCTTCTGGCTGGCCTCTGGGCTCCCCTGTGCACCCATTTTTGTCCTGACACTGGCCCAGACAGGAAAGCAGATGATGTTCCCCTTAGGACACGCCCCATGATCATTTCTCAGTTAACCAGCTGTGGTTACAAGATCAGTGTTACTACAACAAGATCTGGGGGCCAGGCCTGGTGCCTCACACCTGTAATCCCAGTACTTTGGGAGGCCAAGACAGGCAGATCACTTGAGATCAGTTGTTCAAGACCAGCCTGGTCAACATGGTGAAACCCCATCTCTACTAAAAATACAGAAATTCGCCAGGTGTGGTGGCACACACCTGTAATCCTGCCTACTCGGGAGGCTGAGCGGGGAGAATCATTTGAACTGGGAAAGCAGAGGCTGCAGTGAGCTGAGACTGCACCACTGCACTCCAGCCTGGGTGACAGAGAGCCTATCTCAAAACGAAACAAAAAGATCTGGAAGAAAATCCCCACCCACATCAAGTTGGCGCTGTCCATGAGACCCGGGGAAACCCAGCTTAAAGAGAAATGATTGTCCACCAACCAGTGAATTTTAAATTAGTTAATTTCATACACGACAGCGGAGACGTTGACCCTTCCCTCTCCCCACGAAGAGACAAGCACCTACGATCCAAGTCCCAGCAAGGCTGGTGCCACCCATGTGAAAGATGCTGTCATTCCTGTGGAAACCATCACCGGAGATAGGAAGGGTTTTGAGCCCAAAAGGAAGCAAGAGGGCATGAGTCCAGGCCATCCTCAGGGAGGGCAGGGGCCCATCCCAGGCAGAGGGGCCTAAGCCTCTATGGCCTAAAGCTTAAAGATGCTGGCGCAAGCTTCCCAGGGAGAACAGAAACTAAGCAGTGAAAGCCACAGAGGGGAAGAAGCAGGCTGATGTCAACAGCGTGTGGCTGTCCCTCACCCCAAGCAGGGGGAGTGTGCCAGATCCCAGGTCACCAGGCAGGGCCAGCTCCAGCCTGGGCAACCATCCCAGCAGGCAAGAGGGAAGCTAAGCAGGCTGGTGGGCAGGAGAGGAGAGAGCACATGGCAGGTGGGGCAGCCGCAAAAAGGAGACTTCCCAAAGGCGAGGTGTGGTCACCCTCCTGGTGCAGCCAGGCAGCATGGAGAGCAGTGCCCACTAGGCGGCAGCAGCTGGAAGAGAGTGGGCAGCCCTTCCAGGCCCCTCAGTTGGTGGAGCTACATTGCAGAATCTGCTGCGGGGCAAAGAGCTTCCTGGCAGCCGAGGCCTCCCCTGGCTTTCCTGGCATGGGGCAGTTCTCTTTGTTGTCCAGCCCGGCAGGCTGGCCTGAGGCCTTCTTGAAGTAGCAGAGGCGACACACAGAGTGATATTTGTCTGCTCCCCCAATCACTTCGACCTAGCCGCAGGGACAGAAGATGGATGAAGGGCTGGGACAGGAAGGAGACAGAGCCACACCCCCACCGTGCCAGCCCGCAGGGAAGACAGGTGGAGCTACCTCCTTTTCGGTGCCAAGCCTCTTGGTGTAGGCGGCTTCCCGGAAGCACTCCATGCATACTGCGGTCAGCTTCACCACGCTCTCGGCCAGAGGCACCAGGTTCAGGATGGTCCCGAATGCCTGCACTCCCATGGAGAGACAGTGGGCGCTCAGATACCTCACCAGGCGAGGTTTTCTTTTAAACCCTTTGATTCACAAGCACTGAAGCCAGGAAAGTTTGCTCTGACCGTAGTCCTCCCCCCAACCCCTAGAGCACCATGCCCGGCTCTGTCCCCTTGCCAATTCAAACCACCTGCCGCAACAGATGGCACCTGGTCTGCGCAGACCAGGGAGTCCCTAGGCTCAGGCAAGGCCTGGTCTGAGCAGCTCGGCTGTGCCCCTGCAGTGGCTGGGCCCTGGCCACCCGGGGCTGGTGTCTCTGTGCACTGTCCTGTGCCCACCCAGAAGCCCCCTCCCCTCCTGGATCCAAGCTCCAGACCTGGATCAGACCCCTTACCTTCCTCTGGAAGGTCCCGTCCAGTGCAGCCACAATGACCGTCTTCCCGGCGTTGGCCATGGCCTCACAGAACTCCACAATGTCAGGGAACTGGAAAGGGCAGGTGGAGACAGAGCGTGAGAGCTTCCACCCCAGCAGCAGCTCCCTGAAGCCCCAGCAGAGACGCTGCCAGATCTGACAACTCCCGACATTCATCCTGGAGCAACTCTAACTCTTCCATGAGGCTCCCCGGGCCGGGGACTGTCCATCTGCATGCCCTCCCAGCAGACGACAGGCACATCCACAACTGCCCAGCCCCTTCCCCCTGCAGCCAGCTTCTGCGCCAAGTCCAGGTGCCCAGGACTCAGCATCAGACGTCCACACCTCCTGTGCTGTTTAACACTGCAGGGGCCAAAGGCTGGGGCCAGACACCTGCTGCCTGGGGCTCGGACACTGCTCGGAATCTGTGTGACCTTGGCAGTGAGTTAACATCTCTGAACCTGTTTCCTCTTCACTAAGAGATAGCAAGAAAGGTCCTGTTGTGTAAGGACAGAAGGCACCAAGTTATACACATGCACTTCAGCGAGTAGCTGGGCTTTTCGTGCTCTTGCCCCCCCCCCCCCTTTTAAACAGGCAATGTGCCTTGAGAAGGGGTAGGGGACCTACTGGCCATTTACAGAGCAGGATGACACAGCACAGCCTTCTAAATACAGGGCCGGCACAGAGCACATTTACTGCCTACATCAAATTTCACTTTGGCCCAGGGAGAAGCTGAAACTCTAGCAAGTGCTTTGGTGAGTCTCATCAATCAGTCATATTGCTTTTAGCTGGTTGAGTTCACATGTCCAGACTGGCCTTTGGGTTGGCTGAAGCGGGGATGTTCCTGTCCTTGGGTGCAGGTCTCTCTCCCAGAGCCCCTCACGCTTTCCTCAGCCCAAGTACTGAGGTTTGAGGTTATTAAGACGTGAGGGCTTAGCAAGGCGAGGACTAGGGGATAGCCAGGAAAATTCCCGTGGGATCCAGGCGAAGCCCGACTGGACTGACTGTGCTCAGCAGACTGCAGGGGCCTCTAGAAAGGAAACCCAGAGACTCCAGCACGCTGGGCCCTCCCCCGCCATGCACGTGTTCCCTCTTTTTCTCTGAGGACTCATCACGTGTCACAAAAATGCAGCTCCCAGTCTCGCTCCCCATTGCCCAGGCTGGAGGACAGTGGCTCAACCATGACTCACAGCCTGGACCTACAGGGCTCAGCGGAAGCTCCCACCTCAGCCTCCCAACTAGCTGGGACTACAGGTATGTGCCACCACATCTGGCTAATTTTTGTATTTTTGGTAGAGGCAGGGTTTCACCATATTGCCCGGGCCGGTCTCAAATTCCTAGTCTCAAGCGATTTGTGTGCCTCAGCTTCCCAAAGTGCTGGCGTAACAGGCGTGAGCCACTGTGCCAGACTCTAACTTTTTCCAGATTAAACTTATGAAGTCTCTAATCCAAAAGGCTCCAAAACCTGAAACTTTTTGAGTGCACACCACAAGTGGAAAATTTCACACCTGACCTTATGGGACAGGTCACATTCAAAACTCTGGCTCATGCCCAAATTACCAAATAGCATATAAAATCACTCCAGGCTATGTGAATCAGCTGTCTATAAAACATAAACGGATCTTGTGTTTACAGTTGGGACTCGTTCCCAAGGTCTCATTATATTATATATATATGCAAATATTCCAAAATCTGAAAAAATCAGAAATCCAAACACTTCTGGTTCCAGGCATTTAGGACAAGGAATACTCAACCTGTATTACTTGTGTAGAACAGAAAACAAAAAAAGATTTTGTCTTTTTTTTTTTTTTTTTTTATTTTCTCACTCTGTCACCCAGGCTGGAGTGCAGTGGCATGATCTTGGCTCACCACAACCTCTGCCTCCCGGGTTCAAGCGATGATTCTGCCTCAGCCTCTAAAGTAACTGGAATAACGGGTGCGTGCCACCACACCTGGCGAATTTTTGTACTTTCCATAGAGACAGGCTTTTACTATGTTGGCCTAGCTGGTCTCAAACTCCTGACCTCAAGTGATCCACCAGCCTTGGCCTTCCAAAACGCTGGGATTATAGGCGTAAGCCACCGTGCCCAGCCAGAAAAAAAGTTTAAAAAATCAGAGCTTCCACTATTGCCAAGCAACCCTGCAGGCCCGCCAGACACTGTGCAGCTGTTGAAC